GTATAACAGAAAAATACAAAAGCAAGTCCTACAAGCTTTCCATTTAAATTTTTAAAACAAAATGAGCTGGCCTCAGTCTTTCTACAGCAGGCACTGTCAAGACAATTCCATCTTGAATACTTTATGTTTTAAAAATATTCTGCCCAGAATATATGTTTTTAAATTTTGATTGGTCTTTTTAAAGTGATAGGCATCTGTTGTTGAATATGTTGAGATGAACAAGGAAAGTCTTTCCTGCTAATTACGGTGTTAGCACGTATGTCACATTCAAGATTTATTCCCCTAATTTGGGAGGTAGGTAAATAAAGAGATAGATTCTCCTTCTACTGCCAAGAGAAGGACAGAGATGGAATAGCAAGGTAGACCCAGGTTTTGAAGTCAGTGGTTCACAGTCTAAAGTTCTGCGCTCAGACCACTACATACCATTACATTTGCAGATACTGGTTCATTCACCCTCCAGAAATCTAATCATTTTAGGATTTCCAGTGTTGAAGTTCACAGTTACATTAATTACCATGCAGAAGTCTGGCTATATCAAGACAATTAAGAGATATGAAGAGAATTGGTGGAAGAGTGAATCAGGGGTCATGGTCTCATTCAGTATACAGCCAACCAGTGCTCAGTCTGATAAATGAAAACAAAATGCAAAGCTTGAGAGGCGCCAAAAAATATCTTAATAAATAATGAGAGCTTGTACGTTTCAGAGAGCCGGGTTTTCTTGGCAACACCAGGCGGTAGTCATTTCTGAACAAACAAGATTGAAATTAATGTCTCAGTGCAGCAATACTGGAAGCCTGTTTGACGTGCTGCACAAAGACCATTTCCGACGCTCTCCGCCAGATGAATTTCCTCCGTGTGCTGGAGGTAGGCAGAAATGTGCTGCATTCACAAGATGTGCCTCTGATGCAAGATCGGTCTGTGCTCCAAAGGCATCACTTGCATCGATGAGTCCGTGGGACACTGCCAGGGGACACCTGCTTTTTAACTAATGAGGAGCTGGCTGAGTTTTACCTGTGCTCTGGTGTTCAGGGGCACTGAGCCCCGTGTCAGTGGGGTTTGTGTAAGTTCAAGAGTTGTAAAAACAAACAAACAACAAAAAACCAGGCCTGCAGGTAATAGCTTTCTGCAGGTATGATTTACAGGTGCCTGCAGCGTATGTACAGCAGCTTATTCCTGTATGATCTAGAGAATAAATGCATTTGTAAAAGAAGCTGGCCTGGGAAATGCCTCCGTAATCAGAACTACCACCAGCCAGCTGATGCTTACAGAAGAGCTTTGCCACAGCGAGGTATTACTAGTGGCGTCTGTAAAATGGAAACCTGAGGCACAGGAAGCAGGCAGTGTCGCCTCTCAGCTCGTTCATGTGTAGTGGTGGTGGGCCCACGCTCCTCTTTTAAACGACGCTGGGGGAATTTTCCCTTCCTGTCACCTGTGGGACACTCCTCCCTACCCCCTGCAGCAGCAGGGCTCGGGGTGGGCAGCCGGAGGGGCCCTGGAGCAAGGGGCCAGGAGTGGAGCTGGCTTCACCTTCCTCTGTACTTGCTGCCCCCGGCAAATGCCCTTCTCCTGCCCCCAGCGGCCTTCAAACGCGGGTTCCCACTTCTGCACTCCTCACCTCCATGCAGCTCCTCCTGTCCCTCAGCTGCCAGGGGAAGAAAACAACAACAGGTGTAAAATTAACGCTTTCTCCTTTTTTACAGCATTGTTGCAACATCCTTTTCTGCCCGTTGGCTTAAGGGAACTGGGCTGCTGTGCCAGAGCTGACTGCTTTACCTTTTGGGACCTTGTGCTGTGCTCCCACGTTAAAAGGTTTGTTCGCTTTAAGAAAGCGTGTGCCGTCATTGGGAAGGAATGTATAAAACCTGGTGTCAATAAGCTTAATTGGTGTGAAGGCCTGATTGGGTTTGGGGGGAGAGGTGTAGATATTGCCTCCTGCTGAACTGTAAAGCG